TTTTCTTTTTGATTTTTTAAGCCCTATCTATACCTCAGTCCTACGAAAAAGAGAAGGGGTTGGCAAGAGAGAACCATATTTGAAATTAATAATTCACGAGGACTTTATGAGAATTTAAAAGTCCGACAATACTTTTGTTTAGTGAGCGTTCAAATCCCTCTGTTTTCGTTTTTCTTAATTCGTCAACGTTAAGGACCACAATTTTGGATCCTAAATTAAGAAAATAAAGAAGCGAATTTTCAAATGACAACCCCAATCTACATCGGGCCCAGATCTGGCCTGTCCGAGCACAAACCCTAAATCAAAGCCATCACAGCAACACGCATGGACGGCACTACATGTACCTTCCTAACCTTGTGTGCCACCCACTCTATCCCAGGAGAAGGGACAACGCCACCTCGAACCTACACCATGTGTAGGGTCTCGGTTGTCCCACTACGGCAGTCGTCTCCGCCGCTCCAACCCACATCAGCATCCCAATGCCTGACCACGGGCTAAAGAACTACTACAGCCGTAAGTCGTCGCCGGGGGGAGGGGCAGCATCTCCCGAGCCTTGTCGTCGCAGCCCGTGCCGCCTATCAACTGGATCAGGTTGACACACACCTAGGCACAAGCCCGCCAAGCATGTTGCCCGTCAGCCTGCAGCCTGCTCTGCACGCCGCCGTTGCACCACAACATCGTTGCGCCATAGCGCCCAACACCTGTGTCACACCTTGCCACAGAAAAGCCGACCCATGTCGCCTCGGCCCCTCATGCATGAGTGGACACCAAGGCCACATCTCTGCCGGTGCTGGTCGGGATTTGCCAGGCCGCGCCCCTTTGGCCGTGGCTAGGGAGGAGAGTGGGATGGGAGGGGAAAGTTCTTCTTTTTTATCTCGGTCTTCCCAATATATTAACTAGTGAAACAGGATTTGCGTGGTTCAACATTATACTTCCCCATTCTGTTTTGTTGGATTTTTTTTCTCGAATAGGCACAAGCATGCGTATCATTCATTAAAGGAGAGGGGAAAAGACTCCCAAAGTCTTAATTACATGAGATATTTACATGCCTGTTTTCCGACACCACCCACACCCTCACGGCTCACTATCTCCTATGTTACTTCCTCCCACCCGGCTACCTCTACCCCATCCATCTCTCTTCCAGCGCCCTTCTGGAACAGCCCCGCCTTATCCCACAACGTGGCCTCCTCCGTAATTCTCTACTGTACTCTTGATAAGGAGGGCGTAGCTCCGTTGAATACAATGTCATTCCTATGCCTCCAGATCATCCACATTACCAAGAGGCATTTCGCTCTCCTCGCTTTCATGTTGTGCCCAGCAGATTCTTGTCGGAGACACCAAGCCCTTAGCTCCTCCCAAACTAGTGGCTCCAAACCTGGACTACCGGTGATCAGCCCCAACCAATGCCAGATTTGCCTTGCAATCACACACCCTAGCATGAGGTGCTCGATGGTTTCCTCCTCTTGGTCGCAAAGGGGGTAGGCGCTTTGATGAGGTAGGCCTTGTCTAGCCAACTGATCCGAGGTCCAGCACCTGTTTTTTAACGCTAACCACGTGAAGAAGTGGCAACGGAGAGGTGCCCGTGAACTCCAAGTAAACTCGGCCTCCGGCGAAACTTGAAGACCCGAGAACCTCGCCGCATACGCCGACCTCGCCGAGAACTGACCGTTGCTCTCCCAACTCCACCGTGCCGTGTCATCAACTCCATCAATGAGCTGCACCTCATCTAATCTGGCCCACAGCCCCAAGAACTGCAACAGTGCCTCTGCCGAGAGCTCCGGGCCAATGGTCGTCACCCACCTGTTGTTGTCGAGCGCATCTGAGACCGTCAAAAACCTTCTTGCCCTCCGAGGACTTCTGTCATAAATCAATGGTGCTAGATCCCGTAAGCGGGAGCCATCCAACCATTTATGTTCCTAGAACAAGGTGGATTTTCCATCACCCAAAGTTGTAACTGCCGCTGCTTGCACCAAAGCCTCCGACTCCACCGAAACGCTGATTGGAAACTCTACCCATGGTCTTCCTTTGTCAAACTTCTGCATCCACGACCATCTCGCTTGAAGAGCCTTATTGAGCCACTTCAAGTTCGCCAATCCTAGGCCACCTGCCCACTTGGGCCTGCACACCATTTCCCATGATATTGAGCAGTTGCCTCCGCAGGCCTCCTTCTTACCACACCACAAGAAACCACGGCAAATCTTAGATAGCGCAGAAATTGTCTTTGCAGGCAAATCCAACGCCAGCATGGAGTGCACAGGGATAGCACACAACACCGAATGGATGAGCAGCATGCGGCTACTCTTTGGGAGTAGGGAGGCCTTCCACAAAGGTAGCGCATCCCCAACCTTGTCTACCAGATCCTGGAGCTGCGCCGCCGTTGGCTTCCTCAGGGTTAAAGGGAGGCCGAGGTATCTGCACGGAAACGTGCCAGCAGAGCAGCCCAAGGTGCTCACCACCAAATCACTCTCTTCCGTCGAGCATCTAATCGGAATAGCCAAGCTTTTGCTGCAATTCACCACCAATCCCGAGGCCTGACCAAAAAGCCTCAGAATAGCACCACAAGTCCGTGTTTCCAATTCATTGGGCTTGAGAAAGGCGACCACGTCGTCAGCAAACATGGAAACTCGTTGTTTTAGCCCCGAACGTGCCAACGGCGCCAGGAGCCCCCTTTCCATTGCAAACTAGAAAAGAGCTCGCAGTGGCTCCATGCACAAGATGAAGAGCATAGGTGAAAGGGGGTCTCCTTGCCTGAAGCCTTGGCATGGCAAGATCGGCCTACCAGGCATGCCATTAACCATGATCCTTGTGGAGGAGGTTGCCAACAGTCCACACATCCACGTAATCCATTTGGCTCCGAATCCCAATGTCTGCAACACTTGAAGAAAAAAAGGCCACTGGATTGTATCGAAAGCTTTCGTGATGTCCAGTTTAAGAAGGACTGATGGGTGCTTCAACCCATGCAATCTCCTAGCTGTGCATCGCACCAACATAAAATTGTCATGTAGCGATCTGCCACGCACAAATGCACTCTGGTGGTGCCCCACCATCCTCAGCAGGTCAACCGCAAGCCTGGATGCCAAAATTTTGTCGAAGATCTTCATTGGTCCACTTATAAGGCTCACCGGTCTAAAATCTTTCACATCCACCGCTCCCTGGATCTTGGGGAGGAGGGAAACTAGCGCCTTATTAATAGACGCCAACCCTCTCATGTCACCCGCATGGAACTGCCGCAGGGCCTTCATAAAATCATGCTTGATGATGTGCCAGCATGAAACAAAGAAACGGCCAGTGAAAACGTCCGGGCCAGGTGCCTTGTCCAACGACATTTCTTTAATAATCTTCTCGACCTCCTCATCCTCAAACGGGGCCTCGAGGTGCGCAAGGTCCATATAAGGGAGATCCAGCACGTCCAAGTTGATCGATGTCAGCCGCTGAGCCGAGACACCGAACAATGCATCGTAGTAGTCATCCACCACCTTCGCTATGCTCTCCTGCCTAGTGTAAAGTACCCCCTCGTGTCTCAAAGAAGTAATCACATTCTTCTTTTACCTGTATCTTGCCTGCCGCTGGAAGAAAGCCGTGTTTGCCTCCCCCTCTTTAAGCTGCCAAATCCGTGAACGCTGCCTCGCAATGGATCTCTCAAGCGAACAGAGTCCAAGTAGCTCCCTCTTCAGTAACTTCCTCAAGCCATGCTCGTTATCCGCCAGCTGGCGCGAGTCTGCAGCCTTGTCCAGCCGACCAATGATCTCCATCGCCAAGGAAATTTGAAGCTTAACATTTCCAATCCACTTGTCACTCCACCTTTGCAAAGCTTTGGCCATCGCATGAAGTTTGTTATCCAGGGCCAAGAAAAGGTTTCCTTTCGACGGTACTGCATTCCATGCCTCCTGAACTACATCCAAAAAGCCCTCGGCCTTCGGCCAGAAGCTTTCGAACTTAAAATGCTTGCCCACGTGAAAATCCGCGTCCAAATCCACAAAGAGGGGGGAATGATCCGAGACTGCCGTGCCAAGAGCCGTCAACAAGTTCCGCATGGAAAGATGTCCTCCCAGGTGTTGGTAACGAAAATGGGATCAATTTTCTCTAGGGTGGGGTTTCTCCTAGGCTGTTTTGTTGGAATAGGTACATATAAATATTATCATGTATGTTTGTATGTCATGTGACACGTGAAGGTTAGGTATCATGCTGCTTTTCTCTAATTTGGGCGTATGTAAGCGGCATCGATGCTCTCCAGCTTACATGTACATCTGTACGCACAACGTGATAAAATATAGCCGACCATTGCACATGCATGACAGCAACCCTTTTTGGCCAAGACACAACTTTTACGTAAAAAATATTTTGTTCGCTCGAGACACAAGTATTTAAATAAAGATGAACTTGTAACATGTAAGCAACTGACCTCAAATTGAGAACCACTTCAATTATTAGTCAACTATCAAGAGTTAACCCCTACGGTCAAATTTATGCTAGTACTAATTAGCCCTACAATTTTCGCTATATCATGCATCTTGTGTCTCATGACATGATAGCGGCGAGTATAGTTTGCGATCAGAGCCGAGAGGTCGGTCCAGAGTAAGCAACAACTTGAGACTGAAACATGGCAGTAAAAACGAGAAGGCTTTCACTTTTTCTTCCTTGAAGAAATTTCACGTACAGCTCGCAGGTTATTACACATGCATGCAGTGGTCACTGCGTGCTGCATCTCTGCTACGTATACATACACATATCACATATGCATGGTACATCTGCTACTAATCAGAGGAGGCTTTCTTAATTAACTAAACACCCAATGCCTGGTTGCTGACTTGCTTCTCGCTACATCATCACACTGCATTACATATTACACGGAGAAAGAGAGCAAAGAGATGGAGAGAAAAACAAATGTTGGAGCAAGAAAAGGACACATCATTTCTTTCCCCTGGTTCGTAATCTGCCTAGCTAAGCTAGCTAGTCAGTGTCTCTTGGAGAGGCAGTAGGCAGCAGCTTTGCTTGGCTTCTCAGCTGCTGACCTCTTCCTGCAGGTCTGAGGAGCTGCCGCCGCTTGTGACGCAGCTGGAAGACGACGACGATGGCGATGGTGGCATCGGTGGCATCGTGCGGTGCGCGTCGGTGCCGTGGATGCCCGGCGTTTGTCTGTTGGACGACGACGACGATCTGTCCCTTTGGAAGATCCGGCACACTACCCACTCTTGTGTTCCAGCCTCAGCCAAGCAGCAACCCTGCAAGTTGCGACGAGCGTCTTAGTTAAGCACACCTTTTCCGTTCCAGCAACAACAATTGATGGCAAAGATGCAATGCAAGCATGCAGCACAAGGAAAAAAAAGAATCCGATGCAAAGGAAAATAACGTAGTAAATGACAATACTACTACTCGTGGGCTAGACTGAAAAAACGACGCTCTTACTAAAAGAACCAGTGAGTGTTTCGTTCTGGGATTGGAGGAACATTAGGGTCTTTACCTTTCATGGCAATATTGGATTAACAACGTTTTAGGAGTAAAAAACAGAAGAAATAGTACTTCTAACCTAGCACTATAATTTTCTGGTTAAAAGTATGGGAGTACCTAGAACTCATCTAGATGAGATATAATTTGGTCACATTCACTTTGAAAACAAGAACAAATACAACCCCCATCACACACGCATCTTATAGCATCATATCCAATGGCTATAAAAGGTGAATGAGACCAAATTATATCTCATCTAGATGAGTTCTAGCAAAACTGTAAAAGTATCACTTCTACTAGTTCTCAATCCAAACAATAATACCATATTCCTTTCCTATGGTTCGCTTTTGCCTCCATTTCAAAAAAAAAAAAATGTCGGAAATGCACTCACTGACAGCAGCCTATCTTGAACGGAATCCTAATCCAACGAACTAACGGAACCCAGTTACATCGGCGATTCAATATTCCTAACGAACACTCCAGATTGCTGCGCCAAACACTGGAATCAAAAGAGATTGCCACAGACCACCACGAATTAATCCTATATATCCACATTATTACTGCAACCAAACGCTACATTGATTTTGAATGGATTGGCGACCCTAGCTCTGGCCCCGGCCAGGCACTCACTGTTGAGGTACGACTTGCGAACGAACAGCAAGTGCAATTCGCGTCCACGCACACTTTTCAGCTAGAAGCCAATCTCTCATTCCATTACCAAACAGGATTTTTATTCATGTAGATGAGCATTGACAGTAGGCCACACTGTGCAGACCGAGCGACGAGAAGATGCAACAGTTCTTTGACGAAACATCTCTTGCAACAGTAGTGGCCACGGAATTGTTGTGCGCAGTTGGACTGTGGACACCTAGCTAGCCCCCTCTTTTTTTTCCTTTCCGGATACAAGGAGGATGCATGCCACATATAAATGCTTCTCTGTATCTAGCAAGCTTTCACTATCAGTCACCGGTAAATTACTACTCAACTAACTCAGCGGCCGGTGATGGTGTATATGTAAATATGGTCGAGCAACTAACTTCTTGTTGAGGGCCGGGCTAGGCTACATGTATTTGCAGGTTAGCTAATTAATCCCGACAATAAGATCTCATCAACGGATTCTCAACAGGCCGGGCCAGAGCTAGCATCTAGGACAGCGTTAAGTACAACCAACCACCTCTCCGTATCAGCATAAATTGCAACGGCGACCACTACCATCCCAAGCAATTTAATTACAACAGGATCGATCCGTCCATCCATCCATATATTGGTCAGGTCAAATAATTGGCAGTTTTGCAAGTTGTCACAGTTTGATGAACTATCTTGCTTGCAGGTATATGTATCTAGCTAGCGGAGATGCCTATGTGTCCTATATATGTAGCTACTAGTACTTACCTACTCTATGTAACTAGCTTAATTAAACACTGTTAGTTAGTATTAATCTCGGCAAGAGTGGTTATGTCAACTGTGAACTTTATGTAAGCTGGTTAATTAGGTTACGCTAATTCTGACATCATGGGCGCCGTATATATGAGTTAAGTAGGAGTAGTTGGTAACTGTCGATACAATCAAAGTTAAGCTGAAAAGACAGCTCCGTGCCAAGGTTGAACATGTACGCATGATCCTGCTAGCTACTAGTTAACTAGCTAAGTAATATACCCCGGGAAAAAAACCGTCTGAAACGCAGGAATTTTACAGGAGATTCGTGAGAACTCCAGCATAACTGTTCAATTACATACGTCAGCAATCTGAAAAAACTGACCTAATCTAAGCAAAACCTGAGGTATGGATACTAACAGTGAAAGCCTAAACATAAAATTATACTCCGTTCCTAAATGTAAGTCTTTTTAGATTAGGCTTTGCTTAGATTAGTCTTTTTATTGAAGTATTTGCTTAGATTAGGCTTTCACTGTAAACCTTAGCAGGAATTTTATTCAAGTTATATAGCAGCTTCAATTATCAGTACTAGTTTAATTGTACTCTATCAGTTTATGCTTTGCAACTGATGGAGCTGTCATCCAAAGCTAAGGATTGGAGATTAGAGTAGCACTACTAACACGCAGCTGCAGCAGTGCAGTTGAACAAGTACAAGAACATCATTCGGAAGGAGAAAAAACTATAATTGACACAGTACATGCAGCAAGAACAAATTAATGGCAATCAATTAAATCAAGTTGCATCTAATAATTCAGCAATCAAGGAGGATTATTAGTTAGTGCTCACATTCTTGTGGTGATGCGGCAGGGCGAGGCGGTACTCGTGCATGACCCAGCCGATCTGCGCTGGCGCCGGCGGCGCCTTGGAGCCCTTGCCCTTGCCACGTCGGGGGACGAAGGCCAGGAACTTCTTGACGCCAACGAGGTGGCTCCGGCCGCACCGGGACACCACCACCGGCCTCTCCCTCGCGCTCGCGGGCTTCCAGCACCCGCTCGCCGTCGTGGTCCTGCCACCCCTCTTGGCGCCGGCGGCCGGCCGGACCGCAAAGTAGTACTTCTCCCCCTCTCTCGCGCCTGGAAACGAGTCAAACGGCAGCTTTCAGTATAGTACATGTAACACATCGTATGGCTAGCAGTGTCGTCGTCGGCGGCGGCCGTGTTTGTGCTGCGTGCGTGGCGTACCGGGGATGTCCCAGGGGTCGAGGCTGTAGAGGTTGTGGACATCGGAGATGACAGCAGCTGGGAGCGGGAGGGCAAGGGCCTTTCGGCGGAGGTACTGCACAACCAGCTCCTCGTCTGTAGGGCGGAAGCGGAACCCGGGCGGCAGCTGCCTCAGCACCTCCTGGCCGCCCTGCCTCACCATCACCGGCGTCCTCTCCATGGCTGCCGCTGACCACCTGGCAACAGCTTGTAATAGCACGCACAAACTAGCTCAGCTCAGTGGCTCGAGCACGTATGTACGAACTAATAGCCGCACTAGCTAGGTGTAGCTTGTAGTTCACAGGGACGTCCTTGCACGGTAGTGGTAAAGGGAGCAGGGCAGGCCGCAGCTTCCTATCTCACTTTGCAAGTGCAAAGTGGCGCCCATGGGTCGTGCATTTGCTTGGAATGTTCATGGCGACTTGCAGAGAGAGACAGAGAGAGGGAGAGGGTGTAGACTACGGAGAGAGAGATGGGGGGATTGTAGTAGGGAGGGGGAGTGGGGAAAAGGGCGCGGGGTGTTTATATAGAGATCGGCTGCGGGAGGCGTGAAGTTTACTCCATCGTCGCCGTCGTCTGCGGCTCGCCTGCTGGCGGACGTGTGGCCTAGCTCGGTGCCTTCTCCGATTTGACAAGCGCGCCGGTTTATTGCCCTTTCGATTCCTTCTGGAAATTCTCCAGCAAGTTACAGTGCCTGTGCCCCTGTTACGCGGCAACGCAAGCAACGAGGTTAACTGCCCGCTTCAGATTCCGCCAACTTCGTTTTCGTCAAATAGCACCCGTCAGTGGAGTGTGACTGATTGCCGTGATTTCGGTTTTCAGTTTCATCCTTGGCTGATTTTTTTCTTTCTTTTGGTTTCAGGATGACTGAAATCCAACAGAAGCTTAGGATAATTCATGACTTGGCGGATTTCCCTCTTTACCTCATTTTTGTAACTTTGTGACATGTCTTAGCCGTGAGAATTATACCGAGTGAACTTTTTTTTTAACCTTGAACTGCAGAACAATCGTTCTAGAACAAGTTACGTACAAAAAATCAAAAGAAACAGAAAAACAACAGCCTAGGGCTCAACCAATTCCAGCTTTAGGGAAAATTCTCCTAAGAACTTTCTGTTAATTTTGTGAGTGATACGCAGCAGATCCTCGTTGAGTAGGTGTCTCCAAGCAGTGACAGTAGGAGCTCTTTGCTTGAAAATTTTAGAGTTCCTCCGAGTCTAGATATTCCAACATCCTATGATGATAATGCAGAGGGCAAAAGAGTTTGGCAGACTTTGCATTGTGAAGAGAACATTGTCTAATAAGGAAATGCCCCTATTTCTTGAGAAGCATATAGTGTCCACAATGCGAAAGCAAAAGAACGATCCGAGAAGAGATGCAATGATGTTTCTTTTGATGGCAAGGTGCTAAGCTCACAGTTATATGAGGCCAGCCGAAAGAGTTCACCGTATCATGAAGAAGCAACCACAAGAAAATTTTGTGCCTTAGCATTGGAGCACTTTTCCATACTTGTTTGAAAATGTAGTGAACAACAAGGCCCTGTCTTATCATGTTGTGCATATGGATGGATGAAAATTTCAGAGAATTCCAGGGATAAGACCAAATGCCAGGTCTATGCTGCAGTTAGTGCTGCTGCTGTTGGAAATATGCCCTAGAGGCAATAATAAAAGTATTATTATTATATTTCTTTGTTCATGATAATTGTCTTTATTCATGCTATAATTGTATTATCCGGAAAACGTAATACATGTGTGAATAACAGACACCAACATGTCCCTAGTAAGCCTCTAGTTGACTAGCTCGTTGATCAATAGATAGTCATGGTTTCCTGGCTATGGACATTGGATGTCATTGATAACGGGATCACATCATTAGGATAATGATGTGATGGACAAGACCCAATCCTAAGCATAGCGTGAGATCGTGTAGTTCGTTTGCTAGAGCTTTTCTAATGTCAAGTATCTTTTCCTTTGACCATGAGATCGTGTAACTCCCGGATACCGTAGGAGTGCTTTGGGTGTATCAAACGTCACAACGTAACTGGGTGACTATAAAGGTGAATTACAGGTATCTCCGAAAGTGTCTGTTGGGTTGACACGGATCGAGACTGGGATTTGTCACTCCGTATGACGGAGAGATATCACTGGGCCCACTCGGTAATGCATCATCATAATGAGCTCAAAGTGACCAAGTGTCTGGTCACGGGATCATGCATTACGGTACGAGTAAAGTGACTTGCCGGTAACGAGATTGAACGAGGTATTGGGATACCGACGATCGGATCTCGGGCAAGTAACATATCGATTGACAAAGGGAATTGCATATGGGGTTGATTAAATCCTCGACATCGTGGTTCATCCGATGAGATCATCGTGGAGCATGTGGGAGCCAACATGGGTATCCAGATCCCGCTGTTGGTTATTGACCGGAGAGCGATCTCGGTCATGTCTACATGTCTCCCGAACCCGTAGGGTCTACACACTTAAGGTTCAGTGACGCTAGGGTTGTAGGGATATGTATATGCAGTAACCCGAATGTTGTTCGGAGTCCCGGATGAGATCCCGGACGTCACGAGGAATTCCAGAATGGTCCGAAGGTAAATATTTATATATGGGAAGTCCTGTTTCGGGCATCGGGACAAGTTTCGGGGTTATCGGTATTGTACCGGGACCACCGGAAGGGTCCCGGGGGTCCATCGGGTGGGTCCACCTGTCCCGGGGGGCCACATGGGCTGTAGGGGGTGCGCCTTGGCCTACATGGGCTAAGGGCACCAGCCCCACATAGGCCCATGCGCCTAGGGTTTGAGGGGGGAAGAGTCCTAGGAGGGGAAGGCACCTCCTAGGTGCCTTGGGGGGGGAGGGAAACCCCCCTTGGCCGCCGCCCCCCTAGGAGATTGGATCTCCTAGGGCCGGCCACCCCCCCTTGGCCCTCCTATATATAGCGGGGGAAAGGAGGGACTTCATATCTTGGCCTTTGGTTGCCTCCTTCTCCCTCTCCAACACCTCCTCCTCCTCCATAGTGCTTGGCGTAGCCCTGCCGGAGTACTGCAGCTCCATCAACACCACGCCGTCGTGCTGCTGCTGGTGCCATCTCCCTCAACCTCTCCTCCCCCCTTTCTGGATCAAGAAGGAGGAGACGTGGCTGTTCCGTACGTGTGTTGAACGCGGAGGTGCTGTCCGTTCGGTGCTAGGATCTCCGGTGATTTGGATCACGTCGTGTTCGACTACATCATCCCCGTTCTTTGAACGCTTTCGCTCGCGATCTACAAGGTATGTAGATGCATCTAATCACTCGTTGCTAGATGAACTCATAGATGGATCTTGGTGAAACCGTAGGAAATTTTTTGTTTTCTGCAACGTTCCCCAACAGTGGCATCATGAGCTAGGTCTATGCGTAGTTCTTCTTGAACGAGTAGAACACGATTTGTTGTGGGCGTAGATTTGTCAACTTTCTTGCCGCTACTAGTCTTATCTTGCTTCAGCGGTATTCTGGGATGAAGCGGCCTGGACCAACCTTACACATACGCTTACGTGAGACCGGTTCCACCGACTAACATGCACTAGTTGCATAAGGTGGCTGGCGGGTGTCTGTCTCTCCTACTTTAGTTGAAGCGGATTCGATGAAAAGGGTCCTTATGAAGGGTAAATAGAAGTTGACAAATCATGTTGTGGCTTTCACGTAGGTAAGAAAACGTTCTTGCTAGAACCCTACTTCAGCCACGTAAAACTTGCAACAACAATTAGAGAACGTCTAACTTGTTTTTGCAGCAAGTGCTTTGTGATATGATATGGCCAAAGTTGTGATGAATGATGAATGATCTATATGTCATGTATGAGATGTTCATGCTATTGTAATAGGAATCACGACTTGCATGTCGATGAGTATGACAACCGGCAGGAGCCATAGGAGTTGTCTTTATTTTTTGTATGACCTGCGTGTCATTGAAGAACGCCATGTAAACTACTTTACTTTATTACTAAACGCATTAGTCATAGAAGTAGAAGTAGTCGTTGGCGTGACAACTTCATGAAGACACGATGATGGAGATCATGATGATGGAGATCATGGTGTCATGCTGGTGACAAGATGATCATGGAGCCCCGAAGATGAAGATCAAAGGAGCTATATGATATTGGCCATATCATGTCACTACTTTATATAATTGCATGTGATGTTTATTATGTTTTATGCATCTTGTTTACTTAGGACGACGGTAGTAAATAAGATGATCCCTTACAACAATTTCAAGAAGTGTTCTCCCCTAACTGTGCACCATTGCTAAAGTTCGTCGTTTCGAAGCACCACGTGATGATCGGGTGTGATAGATCCTTACGTTCACATACAACGGGTGTAAGACAGTTTTACACAGCGAAAACACTTAGGGTTAACTTGACGAGCCTAGCATGTACAGACATGGCCTCGGAACACGGAGACCGAAAGGTCGAACACGAGTCGTATGGAAGATACGATCAACATGAGAATGTTCACCGACGATGACTAGTCCGTCTCACGTGATGATCGGACACGGCCTAGTCGACTCAGATCGTGTAACACTTAGATGACCAAAGGGATGTAAAATCTGAGTGGGAGTTCATTATAATTTGATTAGATGAACTTAATTATCATGAACTTAGTCTAAATATTTTGCAATATGTCTTGTAGATCAAATGGCCAACGTAGTCCTCAACTTCAACGTGTTCCTAGAGAAAACCAAGCTGAAAGACGATGGCAGCAACTATACGGACTGGGTCCGGAACCTAAGGATCATCCTCATAGCTGCCAAGAAAGATTATGTCCTACAAGCACCGCTGGGTGACGCACCTGTCCTCCCTGCAGAACAAGATGTTATGAATGCTTGGCAGGCACGTTCCGATGACTACTCCCTCGTTCAGTGCGGCATGCTTTACAGCTTAGAGCCGGGGCTCCAAAAGCGTTTTGAGAGACATGGAGCATATGAGATGTTCGAAGAGCTGAAAATGGTTTTCCAAGCTCATGCCCGGGTCGAGAGATATGAAGTCTCCGACAAATTCTTCAGCTGTAAGATGGAGGAAAATAGTTCTGTCAGTGAGCACATACTCACTATGTCTGGGTTACATAACCGCTTGACTCAGCTGGGAGTTAATCTCCCGGATGATGCGGTCATTGACAGAATCCTCCAGTCGCTTCCACCAAGCTACAAGAGCT